CCTGACCAATATGGTAAAACCCCGTCTCTACTAAAAATACAAAAATTAGCCAGGCGTGGTGGCGAGTACCTGTAATCCCAGCTACTTGGGAGGCTGAGGCAGAATTCCTTGAAGTCAGGAGGTGGAGGTTGTAGTGAATCGAGATGGCGACAGACCCAAACTCAGTCTCAAAAATAAAATAAAATAATAATGGTTAATAGGCTGGGCACGGTGGTTCGTGCGTAATCCCAGGAGAATTGCTTGAACCTGGGGAGGCAGAGGCTGCAGTGAGCCGAGATCATGCCATTGCACTCCTGCCTGGGCAACAACAGAGTGAGACTCCGACTCAAAATAAATAAATAAATGGTCAAAATGATATAAAATATATACTGTGTCCTAGACTACTATGGTATAAAAAACTTATAAACAGCTCTTCCTATTTCATGAGCACTTACTGTTTGCCAAATACTCTGTTAGGCATTTTAATCAGGGAGTAATTGAAAGGCCCTGTGGTATAGTGGCTAAGTTGCGGGCTCTGGAAACAAAGCTCCTGGGTCCAAATCCTGGTTCCACCGTATTAACTGTGTGATTTTTTTTTTTTTTTTTTTTTTTTTGAGATGGAGTTTCGCTGTTCTTGCCCAAGCTGGAGTCCAATGGCACATTCTCAGCTCACTGCAACCTCCGCCTTCCAGTTCAAGTGATTCTCCTGCCTCAACCTCCTGCGTACCTGGAATTACAGATGCCCGCCACTACACCTGGCTAATTTTTATATTTTAGTATTTTTAGTAGAGACAGGGTGACACCATGTTGGTCAGGCTGGTCTTGAACTTCCGATCTCAGGTGATACACCCTCCTCAGCCTCCCCAAGTGTGGTGATTACAGGCATGAGCCACCACACCCAGCCTTACTATGTGATCTTGATCAAATTACTTAACTTCTCTGGGGTTTCACTTTCTTATCTGCAAAGTAGTAACAATCAGACTACAATGTAGCATTTGGTACAGTAGTTACAGTAGTCTAATGGCTAATTAGAGACTATTACTATTGTTAGACTATTACTATTGCAGATAGTCTAATTGTTAATCAGGTGACTTAATTTAAAATCACATAGGTCTGGCGGGGTGGCTGATGCCGGTAATCCTAGCACTTTGAGAAGCCAAGGTGGGCAGATCACGAGGCAAATAGATTGAGACCATCCTGGCCAACATAATGAAACCCCATCTCTAAATTTTGATAAAAATACAAAAATTCTCTGGGCATGGTGTGGCGCGCCTGTAGTCCCAGTTACTCGGGAGGCTGAGGCAGGAGAATTGCTTGAATCCTGGAAGTGGAGGTTGCAATGAGCCGAGATCACACCACTGCACTCCAGCCTGGCACCTGGCAACAGAGCAAGACTCTGTCTCAAAAAAAAAAAAAAAAAAAAAAATCACAGAAAGCAGTTAAAACTGGGGTTAGCACATAGTAAGCATTCAATAAATACTAGTTTGGCTGGGCATGGTGGCTCATGCCTGTAATCCCAGCATTTTAGGAGGCCGAGGTGGGTGGATCACTTGAGGTCAGGAGTTCCAGATCAGCTTGACCAATATGGTGAAACCCCGTCTCTGCTAAAAATATTTTCAAAATTAGCTGGGTGTGGTGGTGCACACCTATAGTCCCAGCTACTCGGGAGGCTGAGGCAGGAGGATCTCTTGAGCTCAGGAGACAGAGCCTTCAGTGACCAAGAGCATGCCACTGCACTCCAGCCTGGGTTACAGAGGGAGAGTCTGCCTCAAAAAAAATCATAAATAAATAAATGCTGGTTTTTGCTTGTTTGTTCAACAAACAGCGGCATTTACTATGTGCTTGACTCTGTGCTGCTCCCTCGGAACAGAAAGGTGACCATGACAGCCTCAGCACCCACCCTCAAAGAACAGATTTTTTTTGCCAGTCGCGATGCCCCACACCTATAATCCCAGCACGTTAAGAGGCCAAGGCAGGTGGATCACCAAAGGTCAGGAGTTTGAGACCAGCCTTACCAACATGGAGAAACACCATCTCTACTAAAAATATAAAATTAGTGGAGCATTGTGGTGGATGCCTGTAATCCCAGCTACTCGGGAGGCTGAAGCAGGAGAATCAATTGAACCCAGGAGGAGGAGGTTGCAGTGAGCCAAAATCGTGCCATTGCACTCTAGCCTGGGCTACCGAGAGAGACTCTGTCTCAAAAAAAGAAAACAGAAACATTTTTTTCCTCTCTCTCTTTTTTTTTTTTTTTTCTCCTTGAGACAGGGTCTTGCTCTGCTGCCAAGGCTGAAGTCCAATGGCACAATCACAGCTCACTGCAGCCTCCACCTCTTGTGCTCAAATGATCCTCCCTCCTCAGCCTCCCGAGTAGCTGGGACCACAGCTGTGCACCACCACATTTGACTAATTTTTAAAAACATTTTTTATAGAGACAAGATCTCACCATGTTGCTTGGGCTTGTTAAACTCTCGGGTTCAAGTGATCCTCTCTACTCGGCCTCTCAAAGTGCTGGGATTACAGGCATGAGCCACCAGGCCTGGCTTCAAATAACATATTAAACATACAAATAAATATATAATTCCAGCCTGGCGTGGTGGCTTGCGCCTGTAACCCCAGCACTTTGGAAGGCCAAGGCGAGTATATCTTGAGCTCAGGACTTCGAGACTACCCTGGGCAACATGGTGAAACCCATCTCTACAAAAAATACAAAAATTAGCTGGTTGCAGTGGTGCGCACGTGTAGTCCCAGATACTCAGAAAACTGAGGTGGGAGAATCACTTGGGCGTGGGAGGCGGAGATTGCAGTGGGTGGTGATTTTGCCACTGCATTCCCGCCTGGGCAACAGGAGTGAAACTCCACAAATATGTGTGTGTATGTGTATGTGTGTGATCACAAGTGCAAAAATGCTGTAAAGAAAAACTTCAAGACATCATAAAGATTTATTACGGGCCCAGCACAGTGGCTCATGCCTGTAATCCGAGCACTTTGGGAGGCCAAAGCAGGTGGATCATGAGGTCAGGAGTTCAAGACCAGCCTGGCCAAGATGGTGAAATCCCATTTCTACTAAACATACAAAAATTAGCCGGGCATGGTGGCAGGTGCTTATAATCCTAGCTACTGAGGAGGCTGAGGCAGGAGAATCGCTTGAACCGGGGAGGTGGAGGTTGCAGTGAGCTGAGATTGCGCCACTGCACTCCAGTCTGGACAACAAGAGTGAGACTCCATCTCAGGGAAAAAAAAAAAAAAAAAAGCCAGGCATGGGTGCATATGTCTGTAATCCCAGCTATTCGGGAGGCTAAGGCAGGAGAATCTCTTGAACCCGGAAACCAGGGTTGCATTAAGCTGAGATTACACCACCGCACTCCAGCCTGGCAACAGAGCTAGACTCCATCTCAAAAAAAAAAAACTAATTATGACAGGGTGACTGCTGTCAACTGTAGGGTGTGAGTGATGGCCAAGTGATCAGGGAAGGCTTCCTGGAAGAAGTGAGGTTTGAGAAGAGCCAGAAAATAATGAGAAGAAATCAACCAGCAAGAAGGGATGGATGAGAGAGGTGAGAAAGGGGCTCCAGGGGAGACACCATCGTACACAAAAGCTCTAGGCCTGAGGAACGCTGTGGGCTGTGAGCACTGAAAGGAAGCCTGTGTGGCTGGAGCTCAGAGTTGAGAACAGGGAGCAGAGAATGGGCAGTTTGAGGGGAGGGCAGGGTCAGAGCCAAAATCTCTTTTATATATTTATTTATTTATGAGACTAGATCTTACGCTGTCACCCAGGCTGGAGTGCAGTGGCGCCATCTCAGCTCACAGCAACCTCGGCCTCCCCAGTTCAAGCGATTCTCTAGCCTCAGCCTCCCAAGTAGCTGGGATTACAGGTGTGCACCACTACTGCCCAGCTAATTTTTGTGATTTTAATAGAGATGAGGTTTCACCATGTTGGCCAGGCTGCTCTTGTACTCCTGACCTCAAATGATCCACCCGCCTCAGCTTCCCAAAGTGTTGGGATTACAGGTGTGAGCCACCGCACCCGACCTTATTTTTGGAGAGAGGGTCTTGCTCTGTCTCAGCCTGGAGTGTGGTGGTACGAATTTGGTTCATTGCCACCTTGACCTCCAGGGCTCAAGTGATCCTGCCCCCCTCAGCCTCCTGAGTAGCTGGGACTGCAGGCACAGGACACCATGCCTGGCTAATTTTTAAAAATCTTTTGTAGAGGCCGGCTCTCTCTACGTTCTCCAGGCTGCTTGTCCTGAGCTCAAGCAATTCTCTCACCTCAGCCTCCCAAAATGCTGGGAATACAAGCATGAGCCACTGTGCCTGACTTTTTATTTATTTATATATTTTTTATTTTTATTTTTCTATCTACTACAAGAAGAAAATATATTTTGTTCCTGATAGGGTCTGGCTGTGTTGCCCAGGCCACCTGGGCTCAAGCCATCCTGCTGCCTCAGCCTCCCAAAGTGCTGGGATTATCAGCGGGAGCCACCGCACTCGGCCCAGATCCAAAATCTTCACTGTTGCCTACAAAGTCCTCTCTAACTAGCTTACCCTCATCACCCCTGTACCATCCCGCCCTTGCACTCCAATCACCTTCTTCTTTCCCCCCGCTCATTTTGTTTCAGCCCTGCTGGCCTCCTTGCTGTTTCTAAAACACAAGCACTTCCCACCTCAGGGCATTTGCACCGGCTGTTTTTCTGCCTAGAATGCTGTTTCCTCTGATAGCCAGGTAGCTGATACACTCACCCCACTCAGGTCTTTGCTTAAATGTCACCTTCTCAGCCAGGCACAGTGGCTCATGCCTATAATCCTAGCATTTTGGGAGGCTGAGGTGGGTGGGTCACATGAAGTCAGGAGTTCGAGACCAGCCTGACCAACATGGTGAAACCCTATCTCTACTAAAAATACAAAAATTAGCCGTGCGTGGTGGTGCATGCCTGTAACCCCAGCTACTCCACCCGCTGAGACAGAATCGTTTGAACCTGGGAAGCCGAGGTTGCAGTGAGCCAAAATCGCACCACTCCACTCCAGCCTGGGCAACAGAGCAAGATTCCATCTGAAACACACACACACACACACACACACACACACCTGTGGTCCCAGCTACTCAGGAAGCCGAGGTGGAAGGATGGCTTGAGCTCAGGAGGTGGAGCTGCAGTGAGCTGTGATTGTGCCACTGCATTCCAGCCTCAGCCACAATAGACTGTCTCAAAATAATTTTTAAAAAGTGAAAAATAAAGAAAACCAAATCTCTGCGCTTCATGACTCATCAAGAGAGAGATAAAATGATTCAAAGAAAATATATTGCTATGATGACTGGTTCCAAATGGCTAACATTGTTTATGTGACCTTATAGGGCACATATAATGTGACCTTATATGGCAAAGCGACGCTGTAAGTGTGCTGACTTTAAGGATCTGAAAATGAGAAGATAATCCTAGAGTATCCAGGTCAGCCCTAAATCTGGTCTCCAATGTTCTTATAAGAGGGAGATTGGACAGGAAGACAGAGAGGGGCCACGTGACTGCCGCTCCAGCCGGAGGCTAGCTGCCAGCTTTGAAGGTTGGGGAAGGGTTCCGAGCCAAGGAACGCAAGGAATGCAAAGAATTCGGCTCTAGAAACCAAAAAAGACAAGGAAATGATTCTCCTGTGGAGCCTCCCAGGAGAACACAGTGCAACCTAGCAGGCTGGACCCTCCCACTCCCCCCCCCCCCCCCCTTTCTTTTTTTTTTTCCTCTAGTGATCACCTTTTTTCTTTTTTGAGATGAGTCTTGCTCTGTCGCCCAGGCTGGAGTGCAGTGGCATGATTTCAGCTCATTCAACCTCTGCCTCCTAGGTTCAAGGGATTCTCCTGCCTCAGCCTCCCGAGTAGCTGGGACTACAGACACCCACCACCACACCCAGTTAATTTTTGTGGTTTTTAGTAGGGATGAAGTTTCATCATGTTGGCCAGGCTGGTCTCAAACTCCTGGCCTCCAGGAATCCACCAGCCTTGACCCCACAAAGTGCTGGGATTACAGGTGTAAGCCACCGAGCCAGGCCTCTCAACCTACTATTGCAACACACACAAGGAAACAGCCCACCATGAGTGAGAACAAGCAGACACAACAAGCTATAGGAATAGATGCCTCCAAACTTCAGGTGATAGAATCATCAGGCATATACTAGAAACTAAAGGACACAAAAGAAGAATCCAAAATATAAAATGAAGGATTAGACTTGTGTGAAAAGAATCCCTTAGGAAGAAAGAAAGCAAGCAGGAAAGAAGAAAGAAAGAAAGAAAAAGAAGGAAAGAATCTCTTAGAAAGGGCTACTTTCAGTCCAGGTGCGGTGGCTCACACCTGTAATCCCAGCACTTTGGGAGGCCGAGGTGGGCGGATTACGTGAGGTCAGGAGTTTGAGACCAGCCTGGCCAACATGATGAAACCTGGTCTCTACTAAAAATACAAAAACTAGCAGGGTATGGTGGTGGGCCTGTAATCCCAGCTACTCAGAAGGCTGAAGCAGAATTGCATGAACCTGGGAAGCAGAGGTTGCAGTGAGCTGAGATTGTGCTATTGTATCCTAGCCTGGCAACAGAGCAAGATAAAAAAAGATGAAGATGAAGACGAAGAAGAAGAAGGCGGAAGAAGGAAGAATGAGGAGGAAGAGGAGGGGGAGGAAGAGGAGGAAAGGAGGAGGGGGAGGAGGAGGAAGAGCGGGAGAAGGAGGAGGAGGAAAGGGAGGAGGGGGAGGGGGAGGAGAAGAAAGGGCTACTTTCACTACTTTGCCAAAACTAATAACCACAATGATGAGCATGTATTGAGTCAAAACAGAATCAAAGAGAAGAAAGTCAATTTCTGTGCAATCTACTTTTATTTATAAAGGAAAGTTTCCCTATTTTGTATATAAACAGTAAACCAGTGCTGTATGAAGGCACTTAACTGGGGAGAGGTGGGGCAGGGATCCTGGTGGAGACCAATGTTTCCCATCTAGACCTCAAGACTGCTGGGAGAGCTGGAGGTAGCGGTGACTCCCAGGCATATCCAGGGGTGTGGTCGCCCATCCCAGGCTCTGCTGGGCAGGTGGCTGGCTTGCTGGGGGAGGTGGTGGTGGGGTAGGCATCAGAGGCACTTTGGACGGGATCCGATTTGGCAAAACGGAGTGGTTTCCTGTCCCCAGTGATTTCCAGCCCTTCCTGGACCTCTCAAGGCTAAGGCAGATTCCTAAATTTAAGGCTGGGGTTCTCATTCTTCCCTGGACTTACGGGAGAACAGAGAACCGGTGGCGAGGACCACCACCAGCAGGGCGAGGGGTGCAGATAAAGGAAGCAGAAAACGGAGCAGGAGGTCTGCAGCGAACGCAGGAATGCTTGTTTCTGTCGGGCTCAGAAACCTCCTTCTATCCTGCTAGACTTTATTCCTTTGAGGCTTCACCCTGGGGAAGAGCTGGGGAGACACAGGATCTTCAGACATCAGGAGCTCCCACCTCTCCATCACACACCCACATCCGCCGCCTGTCTCAATCCTCTCACTCCTTCCTAAGGGGACTCTCTCAGCAACTCCCAAACTGCTCCAGAATCCAAGTTCTATGTCACCTCCAAGAACCAGATGGAAACTTCCAATCAGAGCCTCCATTGATGACATGAGATATTGCCAGTCTCTCCTACTGCCACAAGGAGAAGCCCACCTCTCTCTAACACCTTGGTTGTCTTTGGTGTTAGAGAGAGTTTAAACCTCCATATTTAAAAAAAAAAAAAAAAAAAAAACCCTCTCAGGGCTGGGCATGGTGGCTCACACCTGTAATCCCAGAACTTTGGGACGCTGAGGCAGGCAGATGACCTGAGCTCAGGAGTTCAAGATAGCTTGGGCAACAAATATTTTGTCTTTTTGTCTATTAAAAAGACAAAAAATTAGCCAGGCTTGGTGATGCATGCCTGTAATCCCAGCTACTCGGGAGGCTAAGGCAGGAGAATCACTTGAATCTGGGAGGCAGAGGTTGCAGGGAGCTGAGATCACGCCATTGCACTCCAGCCTGGAAAACAGAGCCAAAGCTCTGTATCAAAAAAGAAAAAACAGCTGGGCGCGGTGGCTCACACCTGTAATCCCAGCACTTTGGAAGGCCAAGGCAGGTGGATCACCTGAGTTCTGGAGTTTGAGACCAGCCTGGTTAACGTGGTGAAGCCCCATCTCTACTAACAATACAAAAAAATTAGCTGGGCATGGTGGCACTTGCCTGTAGTCCCAGCTATTTGGGAGGCTGAGGCAGGAGAATTGCTTGAACCCAGGAGGCAGAGGTTGCAGTGAGCTGAGATTACACCACTGCATTCCAGCCTGGGCAACAAAGCAAGACTCCATCTCAAACAAACAAACAAAAAAATCTGGCAGGGCTAGGTGGCTCATGCTTGTAATCCCAGCACTTTGGGAGGAGGGACGATCACAGGGTCAAGAGATAGAGATCGTCCCGGCCAGCATGGTGAAACTCCGACTCTACTAAACATACAAAAATTAGCCAGGCATGGTGGCGCAAGCCTGTAGTCCCAGCTGCTTGGGAGGCTGAGGCAGGAAAAAAAAAAAAAAGCTTCCTCTCCACCTGTAATACACTTGTAAGCGACATTTTTTTTTTTTTTTTTAGACACAGTCTCTGTCACCCAGGCTGGAGTACTAGTAGCACCATCAGGGCTCACTGCAGCCTCAATCTTCCAGGCTCAAGTGATTCTCCTGCCTCAGCCTCCTGAGTAGCCAGGACTATAGGCGTGAGCCATTACACGCAGCTAATTTTTCACCTTTTTTTGTGGAGATAGGGTCTCCTTATGTTGCCTAGGCTGGTCTCAAACTCCTAAGTTTAAGTGATTTGTCTACCTTGGCCTCCCAAAGTGCTGGGATTACAGGCATGAGCCACTGCTCCCAGACTTTTTCTTTCCTTTTTTTTTTTTTTTTTTTTTTGAGCTGGAGTTTCACTGTTATTGTCCAAGCTGGTGTGCAGTGCATGACCTCAGCTCACAGCAATCTCCACCTCCCAGGTCCAAGCAATTCTCCTGTGTCAGCCTCCTGAGTAGCCGGGATTATAGCATGCCCAGCTACTTTTTTGTATTAGCTGGGTATATGGCAGGAAATATCACTTTCTAGATTCTCCAAAGAAAGCGTTTTTGAACTGCTGCATACACACATCAGTTTAACTCTGTAAGGTGAATGCAAAATTAGCACGCCCACCTAATTTTTTGTATTTTTAGTAGATACAGGGTATCACCGTGTTGGCCAGGCTGGTCTCGAACTCCTGACCTCAGGTGATCCGCCTGCCTCAGTCTCCAAAAGTGGTGGGATTACAGGCATGAGCCACCAAGTCTGGCCCACTCTCAGCCTTAATCTACAATTCCTTAACTCCACCCACCATCACTAAAATGGTATTCTTCGGCTGGGTGCAGCGTCTGATGCCTGTAATCCCAGCACTTTGGGAAGCAGAGGTGGGTGGATCACCTGAGGTCGGGAGTCCAAGACCAGCCTGACCAACATGGAGAAACCCTGTCTCTACTAAATAAATACAAAATTAGCCAGGTGTGGTGACACATGCCTGTAATCCCAGCTACTTGGGAGGCTGAGGCAGGAGAATACTTGAACCTGGAGGGCGGAGGTTTCAGTGAGCCAAGATCACACCATTGCACTCCAGCCTGGGTAACAAAAACGAAACCCTGTCTCAAAAATAAATAAATAAAATGGGATTCTTCTTCATCAATTCCCTTGGCTAAAATGGATTATTCTTTGACCTCTCCACCCATACAATCAGCGATTATAAGAAAAACATTGGATTGAGCAGAAACCAATCAAATAATTGGTAAGGCAGTGTGGTTGAGCACCCTACATCCTGACAGCTCTTTAAAGGGCTCTTCCAGCCAGATGCCGTGGCTCACACCTGTAATCCCAGCACTTTGGGAGGCTGAGGCAGGCAGGTCACCTGACGTCAGGAGTTCAAAACCAGCCTGGCCAACATGGCAAAATCCCATCTCTACTAAAAATACAAAAATTAGCTGGGCATGGTGGTGGACGCCTGTAATCCCAGCTACCCTACCCGGGAGGCTGAGGCAGGAGAATTGCTTGAGCCTGGGAGGTGGAGGTTGCAGTGAGCAGAGATGGTGCCACTGCACTCCAGCCTGGGCGACAAAGCGAGACTCTGTCTCAGAAAAAAAAAAAAAAATGTATTAAAATAAAAAATAAATAAAAATAAAATAAAGGCCTCTTCCTCACCTACTCCCCTAACTATAATGAACCCTCCCTTACCCCCCATATTACCATTAAATATAATGTAATTTTTTTACATTAAATATCTTTTTTTTTTTTTTTTTTTTCGAGACGGAGTTTCACTCTTGTTACCCAGGCTGGAGTGCAATGGCGCGATCTCGGCTCACCGCAACCTCCGCCTCCTGGGTTCAGGCAATTCTCCTGCCTCAGCCTCCCGAGTAGCTGGGATTACAGGCACACCTCCATGCCCAGCTCCTCCCCATGACCAATAATGGACTTTTCTGGCCTCCCTCACCCATTTTGTCCCTCTCGCCCCCTCTTTTTCCCTGTGGGATCATCCTATTCCCTAAACAACCGCCAGGAGGTTCCCACGACACCTCCCCTGGGCTCACCCCGAAGTAGTTCCGCGGCACGTAGCCCTCCTGGCCATGCAGAGAGGCCCACCACCAGTCGGTCTCCTCCGGCCCGTCCCTCCGCAGCACAGTGACCGACTCGCCCTCGCGGAAGGACAGCTCGTCCCCGAACTCGGCGCTGTAGTCCCAGAGAGCGTACACCGCCCCGCCGTTCATCAGCCCCATACTCTGCTCCACATCTGAAACATGCCACGGGAGGGAAGGTGAGAGCCCGGTCCAGGGGGCCCAGGAGCAGGGGCCATGCGGGGACCGGGACGGGCCCTGCAATTTGGCGCCTGTCCCAGCAGGGGGCTGAAACCCCTGAAACGTTGTGTGTGCCCATGGCTGCGGATGGGAGCTAGAGCTGGAGTCAGATGCTGGGACCGGCAGTCTGCAGCATTTCGAGGACACTGGGGGAGGCATCCAGATGGGCCACCCACTCCTGAGGCAGGGTCAGTGGCCCCCATTTCCTTTTTTGTTTTTGCAGACTGAGTCTCACTCTGTTGCCCAGGCTGGAGTGCAATGGCATGATCTCGGCTCACTGCAACCTCTGCCTCCCAGGTTCAAGCGATTCTCCTGTCACAGCCTCCCAAGTAGCTGGGATTACAGGCGCCTGCCACCACACCTGGCTAATTTTTATATTTTTTAGTAGAGACAGGGTTTCACCATGGTGGCCAGGCTGGTCTCGAACTCCTGACCTCAGGTGATCTGCCTGCATCGGCCTCCCACAGTGCTGGGATTACAGGTAGGATTCCTTCTTGTACATTGCTGAATCTCCCTGTCAACCCTAGAGGTCCAGTCTTTTGCCCTACCCTGGAGCTTAGCTTACATGGTACAGTCCCTATGGAAGATTCCACCTTCCTTGAATGATATGGACCTACTCTCCACCTTTAAGTGGGCTCATCTGCCTCTTCTTGAGTTTTTATTTTATTATTATTATTATTAAATATTTTGTAGACCAGGTGCAGTGGCACACATCTGTAATCACAGCACTTCGGGAGGCCAAGGCAGGCAGATCGCCTGAGGCCAGGAGTTCAAGACCAGCCTGGCCAACATGTTGAAACTCTGTCTCTACTAAAAAAACAAAAAAATTAGCCAGGCGTGCTGGCATGTGCCTTGTAATCCCAGCTACTCGGGAGCCTGAGGAAGGAGAATCGCCTTCACCCAGGAGTCAAAGATTGCAGTGAGCTATTGTGCCATTGCACTCCAGCCTGTGCAATAGGGTGAGATTCTGTCTCGTAAATAAATAAATATAAATATTTTGTAGAGGTCAGGCATGGTGGCTCACACCTGTAATCTTAGCACTTTGGAAGGCCAAGGCGGGCAGAATGCCTGAGCTCAGGAGTTCGGGATCAGCCTGGGCAACATGGCAAAACCCTGTCTCTACTAAAAAATATAAAAAATTAGCCGGGCATGGTGGCGAGCACCTGTAGTCCCTAGCTACTCGAGAGGCTGAGGCAGAATTGCTTACACCCAGGAGGCAGAAGTTGCTGAGATCGCGTCACTGCACTCCAGCTTGGGCGACAGATTGAGACTCGGTCTCAAAAATAATAAATAAATACATATTTTGTAGAGACGGGGAAGGGAGGTGGTCTCCCTGTGTTGCCTTGGCTGGTCTTGAACTCCTAGTCGCAAGCCATCCTAATGTCTAGGCCTCCCAGATTGCTGGGATTACAGGCATGAGCCACTGTGCCGAGCTCATCGCTCCCTTTCTAGATGGTGCCGTCCAGCTCCACTGCCGTCACCCAGGTAATGGAGCCTCCAAAGAGGATGTAATGACATCTCCGGATGGTAGAACCCATCTGAATCTCCTCCCAATTTCAGCGTGTAATCTCCATCAAGAGCTTAATCCCTGGGCCGGCCAGCCATGTTGGCTCACACCTATAATCCCAGTACTCTGGGAGGCTGAGAAGGGAGGATCGCTTGAGCCCAGGACTTTGAAAACAGCCTAAACAACATAGGGAAATCCCATCTCTAGGAAAGAAAGAACTTAGCCTCTTTTCTGGAGGGTGCAGTAGGTCACTGCGCTCCTCCTCTGCAGGGGTCAGTGGTTCAGTTCCCTCTGTTCTAGTTTCTCCTGCTTTCATGCCCAAGTGTGTTGTCCAATTTTTTTTTTTTTTTTTTTAGGCGGGGTTTCCTTTTTGTTACCCAGACTGGAGTGCAATGGCGCGATCTCGGCTCACCGCAACCTCCGCCTCCTGGGTTCAGGCAATTCTCCTGCCTCAGCCTCCTGAGTAGCTGGGATTACAGGCACGCACCACCATGCCCAGCTAATTTTTTGTAGTTTTAGTAGAGACGGGGTTTCACTATGTTGACCAGGATGGTCTCGATCTCTTGACCTCGTGATCCACCCGCCTCGGCCTCCCAAAGTGCTGGGATTACAGGCGTGAGCCACCGCGCCCGGCTTTTTTTTTTTTTGAGACAGGCTGGAGTGCAGTGGCATGATCTTGGCTCACTGCAACGTCTGCCTCCAGGGTCCAAGTGATTCTCCTGCCTGAACCTCTCGAGTAGCTGGGATTACAGGCGTGTGCCACCATGCCCAGCTAATTTTTGTATTTTTAGTAGAGATGGGGTTTCACCATGTTGGTCAGGCTGGTCTTGAACTCCTGACCTCGTGATCTGCCCGCCTCAGCCTCCCAAAGTGCTGTGATGACAGGTGTGAGCCACCGTGCCTGGCCAGTGTTGTTCAATCTTTACTTCACTTTCCCAACCTTGTGTGTCTGAGGCAGGCAGAGCAGGATAACTCACATCTCACAGGTTCCACCTACCCGTGACAAAGGCGTAATGACCCACCCACCCCCCCCGTCCCATGGTTCCCCCTTCAGGGAATGGTCTGTACCTCTCCAAGTGGTACAGTTCCTGCCTGCCCAGCTCACCTTTAAGGCAGGCATTCCCCCACGCCTCTCACTCATTTTCTGTCGTAGGTGGCACAACCCAATGTCCTGTAGCCTGACCAGGCTCACCTTTAAAACATATAACCCTCTGTCTCACCCCCAAGTCCCAACCCTCACTCCAACTCTCTGTGAATTTCCTCACCCAAACTGAGATACAACTTGCTCCTCCAGGTGTGACTACACCCTGTGCACAATCCCTGGGGTGCAGCCTACTTTGCCCCACCCTTCGGGGAACCAGGTGCTGTAACCTGTCCCCTGGAGAGGTAGGGTACAGCCTCTTGTCTTCCTGCAAGCCCCTTTCCAGCAGCTGTAGCCTGCTTACCTACCAGGCCTGTGGCAATGTCTCTCCAAGTGCCAGAGCCCACCTGCCCAGAGCTCTATGCCAGGTAGATGGAAACGTCCAGCTTCCCACCCCTGCAGATGCCAAGGGTGAGCAGACCAATCTCCACAGCCAGGCTCCTCCCCAAAGATGCCCAGCTCGTGTGGCACAGCCTCCATCTCCCCTTCTCCCTTAGGGGGGCACAGTCCCCCACCCCTGCAGGTGGTCCATCCCTGCTCTCCCTCCTCCTCTTCAATCCTGCCACGGGGTTGGTACGGTCCCCACATCCTCCTCTCCCAAGTGGGGGGTGTTTGCACCCCTCCCCGCGCCTGCGCACCCGCCAGGTAGGCACCCAGGCGCCACAGCCCTGCCTCGCACCTGCCAGGTAGGTGGCGCAGTCAGTATAACCCTCGCGGTACGGGTCACACTTCTCAAAGGCAGTGGCGCCGTCGCTGAGCGTGGTGGCGAAGATCGCAGCGCCGTGCTGCACCAGCGCCATGCAGATGACTGTGTCGTTGCACGACGCCGCGCAGTGCAAGGGTGTCCTAGGCGTGGGGGTGGGGGGTTGCGGGGAGCGATGCGTGAGAGGCCCGCGCATCCGCCCATGGGCACCCAGCCCACCGCGCGGGTCGGGGCTCACCAGCCGTGGCTGTCGGGGGAGTTGACATTGGCACCCGCGGTGATGAGGAAGTCCACAATGGAGTAGTTTGCGCCGCAGATGGCGTTGTGCAGGGCGGTGATGCCCTCCTCGTTGGGCTGGCTCGGGTCGTTCATCTGAGTGCACCGGGGGAGGGGGAAGACTCAGTCCCGTGGCTGGCATCCTGGCATCCGGCCGCCCCGCCGCACCCACCTCCCGCTCAGCAGTGCTCACCTCCTTCACCGCCTGCTGCACCACTTCCAGCTCCCCGCTCAGCGCCGCGTCCAGGAGCAGCACCAGAGGGTTGAGGCGCGCGCGGCGGGCCTTGCGCGGGGAGCCAGCCTTCCGCAGCACCGAGCGCATCTCCTGGGGGACAGGGCGTGGAGTTCAGTAACTTGGAGGGATTGTTAGTATATCCATGACCTAGAGGTGGAAACAGAGGTCCAGGGACCGTGGCACCCATCTAAACAGGAGTAGGGCTGGGATTCACTCGGAGCAGTGAGGGAGAGGGTGCCTCCGTTCTCCTCCTAGAGCCTCCAGTTCCCTGCCATAGACAGGGAATCCTGTGATTTGAGAAACTTGAGCCCTGAAACTTGAGAGAAAGCTGGGGGGCCATGGGATTGGTGGCAAAGTAATTCTGTAAGTTCAAAACAATGATTGTGGAGCCAGTTATTCAATTCACACACAGGCTCACATTTCTTTTGTTAATAATACATGCAATAAGGCACACCTGACAAAACGTTACCAGAGGTGTGTTAATTCCAGATGTTTGGAATCTGAGTATTTTATTATTCCTTGTGCTTTCTTTCTTTTTCTTCTTTTTTGTCTCCCTTTGCAGGCTGGAGTGCAGTGCAGTGGCCTTAACTTGACTCACTGCAACCTCCACCTCCCAGGTTCAAGCGATTCTCCTGCCTCAGCCTCCCGAGTAGCTGGGATTACAGGTATGTGCCACCATACCTGTCTGATTTTTGTATTTTTAGTAGAGACAGGCTTCACCATGTTGCCCAGGATGGTCTTGAACTCCTGAGCTCAGGTGATCCACCCATCTCAGCCTCCCAAAGTGCTAGGATTACAGGTGGGAGCCACTGTGCCCAGCCTCATGTACTTTCTTATTTTTAATTTTCCTCCTATAAGATTCATTTAGTCTGGTCTGGGTGAGATGGCTCACTGCTATAATTCCAGCACTTTGGGAGGCTGAGATGGGAGGATCACTTGAGCCCAGGAGTTTAAGAACAGCCCGGGCAATACAGTGAGACCCAGTCTCTACAAAAAATAAAAATTTAGCCTGACATGGTGGCGCACACCTGTGCTTCCAGCTACTTGGGAGGCTGAGCCAGGAGGACTGATTGAACGGAATGACACTGCCTGGGCAACAAGTGAGACCCAGTCTCAAAAGAAAAAAACGCATTTATTTATTACAAGCATGTGAATGCATAGCATTTGCGATTCTGGTCTTTGCTCTTTCCAGAGTTTCTGTGATTTTAAGATTCTGGAATTCAGAGATCCCAACAGCCAATGAATCCAATATTCCCAAAAGCTCGATTACTCCAACAGGTTGTGACTGTAGAAATGCTAGGTTGTGCTATTTCAAACGGCTGAGGGGTCAGGGCTTTGAAATCCCAAGATTCTATGATTGAGAACTTTCGTATTTTTCCATTAGAATTTCATTTCAAAAGACTAGAAGGAAATGGCTGGGCACAGTAGCTCATGCCTGTAACCCCAGCACTTTGGAAGGCTGAGGAGGGTGGATCGCCTGAGGTCAGGAGTTCAAGACCAGCCCAGCTAACAAGGTGAAACCCTGTCTATACTAAAAACACAAAAATTAGTCTGGTGTGGTGGCTCGCGCCTGTAGTCCCAGCTACTCGGGAGGCTGAGGCAGGAGAAACACTTGAACCCGGGAGGCGGAGGTCACGGTGAGCCGAGATTGTGCCATTGCACTCCAGCCTGGGTAACAAGAGCGAAACTCCATCTCAAAAAAAAAAAAAAGAAAAAAGAAAAAAAAATTATCCGGGAGTGGTGGTGCATGGCTGTAGTCCCAGCTATGGGGGAGGGAGGCTGAGGCATGAGGCTCAGTTGAGCCCAGGAGGTGGAGGCTGCAGTGAGCCATGATCTTGCCACCACACTCCAGCCTGGGCAACAAACAGAGTGAGACTCTGACTCAATAATAATAATCATAATAATGCCCAGAACTTAAAGTATAATTTTTAAGAAAACCTCCACTACAACATATCAGTGCATGAATTTGTGATTTTATAATTCAAAATATGAGCATCTTTAATTGTCAAATTTGGTGACTTCAACAATTGGTAATAATCATTCCATGATACTATAATTTTTTTTTTTTTTTTTTAAAGAGATGGAGTCTCGCTCTGTCGCCCAGGCTGGAGTACAGTGGCTCACCCTCAGCTTACCGCAACCTCCATCTCCCTGGGTCAAGCAATTCTGCTTCAGCCTCCCAAGTATCTGGGACTACAGGTGCACACTGCCATGCCCAGCTAATTTCTTTTGTATTTTAGTAGCGATGGGGTTTCACCAGGTTGCCCAGGCTGGTCTGGAACTCCTGAGCTCAGGCAATCCACCCACCTCGGCCTCCCAAAGTGCTAGGATTATAGGCATGAGCCACCATGCCTGGCAACTCTTTTTTTTTTTTTTTTTTTAAAGAGATTATTTTATTTTATTTTGACACAGAGTTTCTCTCTGTTGCCCAGGCTGGAGTGCAGTGGCGCAATCTCAGCTCACTGCAACCTCCGCCTCCCAGGTTCAAGCAATTCTCGTTTCAGCCTCCCCAGTAGGTGGGACTATGGGTGCACACTGCCATGGCCGGCTAATTTCTTTTGTATCTTAGCAGAGACAGGGTTTCGCCATGTTGGCCAGGCTGGTCTCAAACTCCTGACCTCAAGTGATCCACCCGCCTCAGCCTCCCAAAGTGCTGGGATTATAGGCATGTGCCACCACACCTGGCTAATTTTTGTATTTTTGGTAGAGACGGGGTTTCACCACGTTGGCCAAGCTGGTCTTCAACTCCTGACCACGTCGTGATTCATCCGCCTCGGCCTCCCAAAGTTCTGGGATTACAGGCATGAGCCACCGTGCGCGGCCAAGATTGAATACATTGATGTAGTGCAGAATACCTGGCACATAATTGTTAACTGCTATTACTGTTGTCACCACTGGAACAGGGGATGGTCTCCTTCTGATCTTGGTCACACCCGGCCTGACACTCACTTTTTAAGAGACAGTGAGTCCAGGCACAGTGGCTCACGCCTGTAATCCCAGCACTTTGGGAGGCTGAGGCAGTTGGATCACTTGAGGTCAGGAGTTTGAGACCAGCCTGGCCAACATGGTGAAACGCCATCTCTACTAAAAATACCAAAATTAGCTGGGCTTGGTGGTGCATGCTTGTAATCCCAGCTACTTGGGAAACTAAGGCAGGAGGATCTTGAACCTGGGAGGTGGAGGTTGCAATGAGCTGAGATCAAGCCACTGCACTCCAGCCTGGGTGGTGGAGCAAGACTCTGCCTCAAAAAAAAAATGGAGGAGAAAGCAGAGCAGACACAAGAGACTGTGTCCGGAGACAGAGAGGGAGAGAAGAGAGGGTGACTGCTCCGATTCGGCAGACTTCTCAGTACCAGGATGCACTCACTGTTGTGCCAAGACTTAGTCATGTCCAGGTGTAAGACTCGAGATTGCTGAAGGAATGCCCGGGGCAGGGCACAGGCACAGGTTATTGGAGAGAAGGAGCAGAGAAAATCTCCATGTGGCCAAGACTCCCGCAGGCCCTCCAGATACTCACACATAGCTATGCCTAGATTAAAGACTACATTTCCCAGCATCCCTTGCAGCGGGGCTCCTTGCCAGTTAGAGGGAGCAGAGTGATGTGCGGAACTCCCAGGTTCTGCCTGAAATGGGAAAGGGCACTTTCTCTTCTTCCTTCTCTCTTCCTGGCTGGAGGGCAGACTTGGTGACAGCCATCTAGGACCATGAGGGTAGACACACTCCCGATAGATGGCAGAGCAGGTAGAGAGAGCCTGGGTCCTGACTCCAGTGAACTGCCTACAGTCCTGGGCTGCAAACTCCTGGACTTTTACTCAAAAGAAAACTTAGATCTCATCTAAGCCACTGTCTTTCGGGGGCTCTTTGCTACAGCCCCTGAATCCACATAGAAACATACCCCGGTTTCCTCCTGTATTACTTACCATGTTCTGTGGCTGCTCTGGTGGGCTGCTCTGGGGCGGGGTTGGGGGTGGGATGGGAGCTGGTGGGGCAGGAGCAGGGGGACCTGCCCTGGCCTCAGATCCCTCAGTGATGGGGGACAGCTCTGGCTCCAGCCCCCCGGGCCCTGGCCCCCCATGGCGATGGAAGAGGCGGCTGATGATCTGCTGGTACTGTTTCTTGTGGGTAGGGGGCAGAGCCACGGCAGGGGCCTGCTCCATGGAGCCCCTGCGTTTGAGGGGCCGGGGAATCTCGGCCAGCACCCGTGCCACCTCCTCCAGCTCGGGCACTGACTGTGCCTCCGGTGGCAGTGCTGGCTGCAGCCTTGTGGGGCTGAGAGGCCTTGCTACAGTGCCTTCATCCACATCGCCTGCCTCCAGCGCTGGTGTCAACAGCCCTTCTATCTCCGGCTCAGGCTCCAGCTCGGTGGGGGGCTTGGGGGGTCCTAGACGGAACAAGAGCCCCGTGAGAGAACAGGTCCCCAGGAGACACCCAAGACTTCCTGTCTACAACTTCCAGGATATACAGCCAGTACCTGATTTTCTGTGTGACCTCAGGGAAGTTCCTTGCCCTCTCTGGGCTACACTTTCCTTGGGCTGTGAATAATAAGCAATTATGATGCCTCCCATTTATTGAGCAGTTCGTACGTGTATGTGCCAGGCACTTTACAGGCCTACCTTACTGTAATCTCACTACTGCCTTGTGAGGTAGATAGAGTGCCATCTCCATATTACTGAAAGGGAATCTGGGCCTCAGAAAGGACGAGTCCGTTGCCCAAAGCCATGCAGCTGGGACTTGAACTCAGTTCTGGCTGACTCTAGAATCTACTTCTACCAACGATGATAGATGTAACTTTCTAAGATCCTAAGAATTTCCTCTCCTAACATGTCAGGCAGAAAACTCCAGCAGGAAGTAGAATCCTGGTGTTTAATGATTTCCTCTCTGTCTTATTCACTCTGGCAGTAAAGCAGATGGAAATAAAAATATGCATTATGGGATGAGTGCAGTGGCTCACGCCTGTAATTTCAGGACTTTGGGAGGCTGAGGCAGCAGATCTCTTGAGGTGAGTCTGAGACCAGCCTGCCAACATTGTGAAACTCCATCTCTACTAAAAATTTTTTAAAAAATTAGCTGGGCATGGTGGCACATGCCTGTAATCCCAGCTACTCAGGAGGCTGAGGCACAGGAATAGATTAAATCCAGGAGGCGGAGGTTGCAGTGAGCCGAAACACACACACACACACACACACACACACACACACACACACACACACATTATATTTATACTATATATATTTATATATAGTATGTATATACATATAAATAACACACACACATAGCTGGGCACAGTGGGTCATGCCTGTAATCACAGTGGGTCACTGAGGTCAGGGGTTCAAGACCAGCCTGGCCAACGTGACAAAACTCCATCTCTACTAAAAATACAAAAAATCAGTCAGGTGCGGTGGCGCATGCCTGTAATCCCAGCTACTTGGGAAGCTGAGGCTGGAGAATCGCTTGAACCTAGGAGGTGGAGGTTGCAGTGAGCTGAAATCGTGCCATTGCACTGCAGCCTGGACAACAAAAGTGAAACTTCATCTCAAAACACACACACACACACACACACACACACACACACACACACACACACAATTTCATTGAATCCCGATCACAATTCTATAGGGTAGATATTATTAATCTCTTTTCACAGATGGGAAAACAGAGATTCAGACAAGTTAAGTAATTTATCCTCAGTCACACAGCAAGCCAGCAGTGAAGAGAGACTCAAGCCCATCTACTCAACTCACTGATCTCGCACCCCAAAATATTAATAAATTATTATAAGTAATATGGTAGTTATTTGAGACTGGATCTCACTCTGTTGCCGGGCGGGAGTGCAGTGGCGCTATCAGCTATCAGCCTAGGTCTCCCAGGCTCAAATGATCCTCCCACCTCAGACTCCTGAGTAGCTGGGACTACAGGCGCCCATTACCATGCCTGGCAGGTTTTTTGTACTTTTATTTTTAGGTTTTTTTTTTTTTTAATTTCCTGGAGTTACTGCTTTGTTCATGAGGTCTGATATTTTTAGTATTTTGTTTGTTTTTTCAGATGGAGTCTCACTCTTTCACCAGGCTGGAGTGCAGTGGTGCAATCTTGGCTCACTACAACCTCCACCTCCTGGGTTCAAGTGATTCTCCTGCCTCAGCCTCCCGAGTAGCTAGGACTACAGGTTCGTGCCACCATGACCAGCTAATTTTTGTATTTCTAGTAGAGATGGGGTTTCACCATGTTGGCCAGGATGGTCTCAATCTCTTGACCTCCTGATCCACCCAACTCTGCCTACCAAAGTGCTGGCACTGCAGGCATGAGCCACCGTGCCCACCCTAGCAAAGACTATTTTATAAGTTTCACTATGTTGCCCAGGCTGGTCTTGAACTCCTGAGCTCAAGCCTACCTGTGTTAGCCTCCCAAAGTGCTGGGATTACAAGCATGAGCCACAGCACCTGGCTAATATAGTAGCTATTCATAGCTTACTACATGTCAGATCCGATTTATTTACTTATTTTTGAGACAGAGTCTCACTGTGTCACTTGGGCTGGAGTGCAGTGGCACGATCTTGGCTCACTGCAACCTCAGCCTCCCTGGTTCAAGGGAGTCTCCTGCCTCAGCCTCCTGAGTAGCTGGCACTACAGTCGTGAGCCACCACGCCTGGCTAATTTCTTTTCTTTTCTTTTCTTTGTGTGTTTTTGGTAGAGATGGGATTTCACCATGTTGGCCAGGCTGGTCTCAAACTCCTGGCCTCAAGTGATCTGCTTGCCTTGACCTCTCAAAGTGGTGAGATTACAGGTGTAAGCCGCTGCACCTGGCCCATCACGTGCTGTTTTAGGACTTTGTATGCATTTAATAGCATATGTCAATAAGATAGACCCTATCATTATTTGCCTTTTTTTTTTTTTTTTTTTTTTGAGACGGAGTCTGGCTCTGTTGCCCAGGCTGGAATGCAGTGGTGTGATCTAGGCTCATTGCAACTTCCGCCTCCTGGGTTCAAGGGACTCTCCTGCCTCAGTCTATTGAGTAGCTGGGACTACAGGCACCTGCCACCACACTTGGCTGATTTTTGTATTTTTAGTGAGACAGGGTTTCACCACATTGGCCAGGCTGGTCTCGAACTTCTGACCTTGTGATCCACCTGCCTCAGCCTCCCAAAGTCCTGGGATTAGAGGCATGAGCCATGTGCCCAGCCCATTATTTGCCTTTTACACTCAAGAAAATTGAGGCCCAAAGAGGTTAAGTGACTTGCCCAAGGTCACACAGTGTATACCCAGGCAGTCTGGCTTCAGGGTCCACACTTAACCTTTGCGTTATCACCTGGCTCCTACCCAAAACCAAGCTCACCTGGCCTAGCTCTCTGCAGGACAGTCCCTGGAAAGAGGCATTTGGCTGTGATCTCCCTGCCTCCCCAGGGCTGGGCTGGTCCCCCTGCCATTTGTTCTCCCTTCACTCAGCCCTCCAGGGCCCTCATTGCTGACTTACCTTCGTTCACAGGGGGCCATGTCTGTTGGGGAGGCTGGGGGGCTGGGGTAGGGGCTTGTGGCTGAGGCTGTGGGGGCAGCTGGGGCTGTGGTTGTGGCTGGGGCTGTGGTTGTGGCTGGGGCTGCGGTTGTGGCTGGGCCTGTGGTTGTGGCTGGGGCTGGGGAGGCAGCTTAGGTGGGGGTGCTCGGGTGAAGAGGGGGGACCCAGGGAGCATGGCACGGCTGGCCCCCTGCTCCCAGAAGGCATTCTGCAGCTTGAAGATCATGCTGAGGGGGATGGGACGCTGGCGCGGGGCCGCGCGGGGCTGGGGGCTGGAGGGGGGCATGGGGATGCGGCTGACGGGCTGCCAGCTGCGAGGCAAAGTGCCCGACGGCCCCGCGGAGCCCAGCGAGCGGCGGTAGCTGCCTGTGTCTGAACGCCGGTCGCTGGCCAGAGGGGAGACCTTGTAATTGCGCGGAAGGGTGGCGCTGGTGAGGTTGTCCTGGGTAAGAGGGAAAGAAGGGGATCGGGTGAGAGACGGAGGGTGGAGGGAAGGTAAGGACAAAAAGCGAAGAGAGAGAGGAGGTGAGGGAAGCCCTGGGAGTGAGGGGGAAGAAACGGTGAGGAAGGGGCAGAAACCCAGCACAGTGAAGGGAGAGCGTGGGAAAGGGCGCCCAGACCCAGATCGCAGCCACAAGCAGGAAACTGGCCGTGACCCCACTCCCCAACCTTGCCCAGCCCCTCCTCCCCAAGCGTCTTGCCTCCTCACCTTGGTGGTGCCCCCCAGTCCGTCCAGGCTGCTCTCCCTCCAAGGCAACAGCTGCAGGCCCGGCGAGGCGGGCCGTGCAAAGACATCCAGGCCTGCGGGGCGGGTATCGTTAGGGTCTGGGGGGCTGCCTCTGCTCCGGGTCCTCCACTCCCCGGGCCTCCACCACTCACGTTCATAGCTCGCTGTCTGCGAAGGCTTCTTCTCGTATGCCACGTCCAGGTCAGACTCGTTCCAGGCTTTCGGGGGCCGCCGGCGCAGCGTCAGGTCGTCTGGGGAGAAGTTTTCAGTGAAGATGAGATGGGAAGGGTGGCAAGCCCCGGATCCCGCCCGCTTCGGCCCGCCAGTTGGCCCCCGGGTTCACCTTGCGCGCGCAGAGGCGGGGCAAAGGCGCTACTACCCGCGCCTAGCAGGGAGCTCCCGAAGGCAGGCGCGTCGTAGGCGGTGGCAGCGGGGCGCGGTGACGGCCCGCGCTCGGGGAAGAAGGCCTGGGGCCCCTCTGCCAGGGGGCTGCCGCGGGGGGAGCCTGCGCGGCCCAGGAAGTCGAAAGGTGTAGGGGGACCCTGCTGGCGGAGTGGGCCGGGCCCAGGCCGCGGGGAGGGCGCACGGCCGAGGGAGCTGCCTGCGCCATCGAAGGCGCGGGGCCGGGGCGAGGGCGCGCGGTCCAGGCTGCCGTAGGCGTCCGGCTGCAGGTAGAGCGGGGTGCGCGGCGACGACGGACGGCCCTTGGGGGACAATGGTCTGTAGGGGTGCAGGGTTGGGGCACTCTCTGATCGTCCGAACGGGGTGTCTGTGCCTTCGGTGGCCGCCTTCCGGGGGGACCCTCGGCTGCCGAAGGGCTCAGGGATCGGGCTGGAGCTGTACCTGGGCGGCTGTGGGGAGGCCGGGACATTGACAGATCAAAGGAGACATTCGTGGAAGGGTTGATGTGTGTGTGTGTGGGGGGGGGGGTGTCAAGAGAGGTCACCGGAGGTCAACCTAAAAGAGGCAAACCAGCGATGGAAATCCAGAGAGTGCAAGTGAGGAGTGGTGGGGAGGCTGCCTGAACCAGGGCCTGGCTAGCCGGTTACTCTGCCGCCTTTATGCCGCTTAGGTTAACGCCCCTTTCCTCCTGAGGGTCCCGATAGATGTCTACCTCCACTGGTCCCTTCTTCTCTTTTTCTTTCTTTCTTTCTTTTTCTTTCTTTCTTTCTTTTCTTTTTCTTTCTTTCTTTTCTCTCTCTTCCTCTTTCTCTCTCCCCTTCCTTCCTTCCTTCCTTTCCTCCCTCCTTCCCTCTCTTTTTTCCTTCCTTTCTTTCTTCCTTCCTTCCTTCCCTCTTCCTTTCTTTCTTTCCAGAGTCTTGCTCTGTCACCCAGGCTGGAATGCAGTGGCATGATCTCAGTTCACTGCAACCTCCGCCTCCCAGGTTCAAGCAATTCTCCTGCCTCAGCCTCCTGAGTAGCTGGGACTACAGGCACCCGCCACCACACCCGGCTAATTTTTGTAATTTTAGTAGAATTGGGGTTTCACCATGTTAGCTAGGATGGTCTCTATCTCCTGACCTCAAATGATCTGCCTTCCTCGGCCTCCCAAAGTGCTGGGATAACAGGCGTGAGCCACCGTCCTGGCCAAATTTTTTAAAAAGTATTTGTAGAGGCTGGTCTCGAACTCTTAGGCTCAAGCAATTCTCTTGCCTTGGCTTTCCAAAGTGCTGGGAGTCCAGGCCTGAGCCATCCCACTCCAAAGTGCTGGGATTCCAGGCCTGGTCCCCTTTTTTCAAGTTCCCTTGAAGAGTCCACAGCCTGCATAACTGCATGGGGCAGTCTTATCTGAAATCCAGGCCTCTGGTCTGGGGTGCGGAGAGAAGCTGGCTTTGGAGGTCAAGGTGGGAGACCAGGCTTACCCTAGAAGGGGCTCCGGCCTGTGGGCCAGGAGGCGCGGGAGAGTCTGACCACAGCGACTCCAGCTGCTTGGTCAGTTCATCCACCTTGGCCGCTGCGGTGTCCAGCTCCATCTGCTTCAGATCCATGTGCTTCATGGCCAGCGCTGGGGAGTCGGAAATGGAGGTAAGGAACGGGCCTCCTGGCAGGGGCCGGCCTCAACATCCCCCGCCCGCTGCCGAGGGCCCCCGATCCGCCAGCCCCGCCCCCTACCCCAGCTCACACTGGAAGTTCAGGTCCAGAAAGTCCCGCGCGTTCTGGAATGCCTCGCTGTCCATGGTGCCAGCCGGAGCGGGCGCCTGCATGGTGGGGAGGGAGGGAGCCGGCTAAGACCCCGCCCCTCTAGACCCCGCCCTCAGGGAGCCGGGCGCCCTCGGGAGCTGGACAACGCCTTTACTCGGTTCTCCCCCCGGAAGCCCGATACACTTCCCCTGGCTGGGGAGTCCAAACTCCTCCAGAGCCAAGTCCATGCGCCACGGAGAAGTCCAAACCCGGTCTAAAGGCTCCGGAAAATTCACTCTCTCTCTCTCTTTTTTTTTTCTTTTACCTGGTCTAAAGGCTCCGAATAATTCACTTCTTTTTTTTTTGAGACGGAGTCTCTCGCTGTCACCCAGGCTGGAGTGCATTGCCGCGATCTCGGCTCACTGCAACCTCCGCCTCCTGGGTTCAAGCGATTCTCCTGCCTCAGCCTTCCGAGTAGCTGAAACTACAAGTGCGCGTCACCACGCCCGGCTAATTTTTGTATTTTTAGTAGACACGGGGTTTCACCATGTTGGCCAGGCTGGTCCTGAATTCTTGACCTCAGGTGATTCACCCACCTCAGCCTCCCAAAGTTCTGGGATTACAGGCGTGAGCCACTGCGCCCGGCTGTGTCCATCTCTTTATCTCGGTCCTAAGAGGACCTGAATCATTCCTTCAACAATTAATTAATCACCCACAATGTGCCAGGAAACATAGGATGAAATAACTATGAGTTACTGAATGTTTACTAGGGACCAGGTGGCACTGTGCTAGATCCTGTTTTTTGTTTGTTTGTTCGTTCGTTCGTTTCGTTTTGTTTTTGAGATGGAGTCTCACTCTGTCACCAAGCTGGAGTGCAATGACACGATCTCAGCTCACTGCAACCTTCAACTCCCTGGATCCAATAACCAGCCAGGCGAGGTGGCTCACACCTGTAACCCCAGCACTTTGGAAGGCCAAGGCGGACAGATCGCTTGAGACCACGAGTTAGGGACCAGCCTGGCCAACATGGTGAAATCCCATCTCTACAAAAAATACAAAAGTTTGCTGGGCATGGTGGCATGTGTCCGTAATCCCAGCTACTCAGGAAGCTGAGGCACAAGCCAGATCTGGGCACGGTGACTCACTCCGAGCACTCTGGGAGGCCGAGGTGGGCAGATCACCTGAGGTGGGAAGTCTGACCAATATGGTGAAATCCCGTCTCTACTAAAAATACAAAATTAGCAGGGTGTAGTGGCACACATCTGTAATCCCAGCTACTTGGGAGGCTGAGGCAGGAGAATCACTTGAATGGGGGAGGCAGAGGTCACAGTGAGCCGAGGTCACACCATTGGACTCTAGCCGGGGCACCAAGAGCAAAACTCCGTCTCAAAAAAAAAAAAAAGTTTGGCTCAGAAACATGTATTCAAGGTCACCCTGCAAGAAGTCCATAGTAATGGGTTTCACACCTGGATCCAACTTATTCTGGGTCATCTCCACCAGATTAGAGGGGTCCCAGAGGGAAGTGACTGCTCAGCTTCCTCTCCCTACGGTCCCCATCCAGTGGAGGTCTGGCTCTCATTGATCCGTCAGAGGAAAAGGGAGGTGGCTGGGGCGGAGGGGTAGCTGTGGTCACTGGCCCAGTGGGAGGGAGCTAGGCCACCAGGAACCAGCCAGGCCGGCACCATTCCTATCCCATGCTAGTCACCACGCCCGCCAGCTCTCCCACCTCCCTGCTGCATCCACCGCTTAGCTCTGGCGGCAGCCGGGCAGGCTGAGGCATGCTGATACCCGCCTCTGTTTGGGAAGTTGAAGGAGCAGAACCTGTTCGGGCTGGTGGCTCATTTGGATGAACAGGGAGTGTGTGACCTTGGGTGTTGAGTCCTCTCTACTCCTTGGGCCTCAGTCTCCCCAATGGTGAAAGAAGGGAAATCAGTTTTGTTTTTTTTTTAGGGTCTCACTCTGTCACCCAGGCTGCAATTGTGACCCACTGCTGCCTCTCAACCTCCCAGCTCAACTGATCCTCCCACCTCAACCTCCTGAGTCACTGAGACTACAGGTATAGGCTTGCATCACCACAGACAGCTAATTTTTTAAAAATTTTCTGTACAGCCAGGGGTCTCGCTTTGTTGCTCAGGCTGGTCTTGAACTCCTGGGCTCAAGCAATCCTCCCGCCTCAGCCTCCCAAAGTGCTGAGATTACAGGCAGGAGCAAACACACCTAGCCAAACCAGCTGTTCTGAGAGGTCCCTTTAATCTCTATGAGCCCTAGACTCGGAAACTATAAGAGCTTTAGGAGTGTAACTAAAGTTCTGCAGCACCTAAATCCCTCAACTAAAGAGTCTATTGTTGGAAAGTTCTGAGTCCAAGAGTCTACCTTTGGAACATTCTAGAATTCTCCAATTTGTCTAACCCAGAATTCTGTCTTTCTCATCACATTCTACCTATTCCAGGATTGCACTGCTCTGGCAATCTAGATGGATGGTATAGTGGGGCTGGTAAAAGCATGGGTAACGGCCGGGCGCGGTGGCTCAAGCCTGTAATCCCGGCACTTTGGGAGGCCGAGGCGGGTGGATCACGAGGTCAAGAGATCGAGACCATCCTGGTCAATATGGTGAAACCCCGTCTCTACTAAAAATACAAAAAAAATTGGCTGGGCATGGTGGTGCGTGCCTGTAATCCCAGCTACCCAGGAGGCTGAGGCAGGAGAATTGCCTGAACCCAGGAGACGGAGGTTGCGGTGAGCCGAGATTGCGCCATTGCACTCCAGCCTGGGTAACAAGAGCGAAAACTCCGTCTCAAAAAAAAAAAAAAAAAAAAAAAAAAAAAGCATGGGTAACAAGTCAGACTTTAAGATTTTAAATCTGAGGGCCGGGCGTGGTAGCTTCTGCCTGTGATCCTTGCACTTTGGGAGGCTGAGGTGTGAGGATCGCTTGAGGCCAGGAGTTTAAGACCAACCTGGACAATACAGTGACACCGTGTTTCTTTTTTTAAAAAAATCAAATAATCAAATCTGGCAGCACCACTGTCCAATCCTGAAAATAGTACCTCAGTTTTCTAATCTGTAAAATGGGGATAAATAACAGTTCACTTCTTAGGACTATTGTAAGAACCCACCTGGTCAGAAGGTTCAGGAAGAATTCAGGGCTCTGAGAATTAAGGCTTTAGGAAGAACAGACTACAGAAATCAAAACTCGAGCATTTAGAATTTCGGAGATACATAAGAAATACTCTATTAAGTGTCTGTTAAAACAGATAAATGGCTCCCTTCCCTTCCCCTCTCCTCCCTGCTCTCTTCCTTCCCCCTCGGAAAAAGAAAAAAAAATTTAAAAAAACAAAACTCAACTAAAAAAACAGGTAAATGAGCAAGTCTGTAAGTGACTTTTTTTTTTAAGTTCTCTCTCGCACCTGTGCTCAGGCTGGTCTCAAACTCCTAGCCTCATGCCACCCTCCCCATCTCAGTCGCCCAAAGTGCTGGGATCACAGGCGTGAGCTACGGCTCCACGATCTCCAAATTTCCAAGATTATCAGATTCCATGCTGACACCCTCTGGCTCTAAGGAAATGCCAACCCCGGGTGTGGGACTGTCCTGGGGACAGGCGGTCGGGACGTCGTGGCCGCCAGGGGGCGCCCAGGTCACGCCCCGACCCCGGCCGGGTGGGCGGACCGCGTCTGAGCTCAGGCCCGGGGAATGCGCAGCGGGCCCAGGCAGGTGCCTCACATCCCGCGGCTAGGGAACGGGGCCGGGCGGGGTACAAGGGCGGGGCGCGAGGGTGGCGCGGACCGGGTGTCTTTTCCCAGGCCTCTGCCCCTGACCTCCGCCTCTGAGTCCTCTCCCTTGGGCTTCCCTGCAGCTCTAGCTCCGAGCTCTCCCGCGGGCTCCCGTCCACCCGCAGTTACTCTCCCCTGGGCTCCTCTCTCTGCTGCACCCCTGGCTCTCCTTCCCTGGCCTCCTCTGCACCCCAGCCAGGTTCTTTAGGGCAAAGGATCCTGTGGACTTCCTGGAGGAGTCATCGTTAGTAGCAACCGGGTCAGAGAGCCAGACTGAGCTGGGAACACCCAGGTCGAGCTTCGACAGCCCTTTCCTGTCACACTGAATCTGGGAGAGGCTCCCCTGTCTCGGGGGCTCGGTTTCCTCCTTTGTGGCCGTCTATGGAACGCGCTAAGGCCGTTCCCGTGCTAAGCTTCTACTTGGGCTTGTTATTTCCCTTGTCTGTGCCTCAGTTTCCTGATGTGTACCATGGGAAGAATTAATACCTTCACCTCAAAGGGGTATGAGGATTGAGTGACATAATTTATAAGCAGTAATTAAAATAATGCGGTGCGTGAAATACAGTTCACACATACAGGATCCTCATTACCGGATGTCCTTGGCTGTTCATTATAACACAGGGTCTGGCAACAGAGTGAGAGGTCAAGACTCAATGTGATTTTCTTTTTTTTTTTCTCCCTAAAAGGGCCCTTTCAACTGTTTCTGAGATCCTAAAAGCCCTGAGTTCTGACACCCAGGGCCTCAACTTCCTGAGCCCTTGCCTCTCAGGGTCCTAAATTCTCCCTATACATTCCTAAGTTTACTCAGTGATCACTCTCTGTCACTTAGGGACGGGTCGGGGATGTGTGTGTCATGGGGGATCAGACGGATGGGGAGTGCGGGGGGTGGGCAGGGCCCTGGAAGATTCCAGACAGAAGCTGGCAAAAGCCCAGTGTGTGGGCAGTATCCACTCTCCAGCCTCCGTTTCTCCACTCATAAGGAGGAGTCCTTCCCTGGGGTCAGCAAACTTCATTCAAAGCGAGACCTCTCCGTCGCTGGAGACTCCTCTAGACAATGACAGCCTTCCTAGCTACCTACCAGCCCTGACCTTGGCACACCCAGAGTCCTGTCTTGGCAGCCACGGTTATTATTTTTAATTTCATTTCAGTCTATCATCAAATGTCCTTCAAGCCCAGACACTGGGAAGCACCCTTCTCTCATCAGATGCCTGCCTCCCCCATTCTGTTTTTAATCCCTGCTCTCAGGACGCATGGGGGTGGAGAGAAGGGGGAGACAGAGGGAGGTGCCTGGTCCTGCCCTCCCCCAGCCTCAAGGACAGACAGACACCTCCAGAATTAGCCTCTGTCCCTCCCTTATCTCCCACAATACCTCAGGTCAGACAGATGGGCGTGGAGGTGACATTTCTCACCTCAGGGTCAGAGCAAGGATCCCAGAGGCAGAAGGTTAGGCAGAAAATCTGGCGGAGGTGGATGGAATCCCGTCCCCCAGAGAGCTGCAGAAGAAGGAGGAGGCTGAATACTGACCCCACAAACTCTGCTGCCTGTGTGAGCTCCAAGCCTCAGTTTACCCCTTCCTCTCCGACTAATGGTTAAATGCCAGGCTATGTAAACTTCCCAGAATCCAACTGCAGCTTTCCAGAATTCTGCCCTGCGTTCTGGAACTACCTCTGCAAACCCAGCTGTTTCCCATCAATATAAGGCAATAGGGGAGCCCACCTCCGCCAGGGGGTGCCCTGGGGCGGATGTCCCTTCTCTGGTTAGGCAGGTCTGACGCCCAGGTTAATGACATGTTGGGGTTCGCTCAGCGGCACAGAAGAGGTTGGAGATCTGCTTCGGTTTTCTCTCCTCCCCCGCCCCCCTCCCGGAGCCGGAATGTCGGGGGAGAGCCGGGACACAGCCTCCGGAGGGACCCTGGGTACCAGTCCTTCTCCGCTTCAGGAACCCAGGCTCCACTATCCCTGCCCCACCCTTAATTCTGCTCAGAGACCTAGAAGATAGGTCAAGACAGCAGCTTGAGGGTGGCAGGGTGGTCACCCATTCCTGAGCCCCGCCAGTCTGAGCCTCCCATTTCTGACCAAGACTCGGGGATTCGAACTCCTATGCTACCCGAAAACTCGGCTTCCTAGAGCCCCCCAGTTCGAGGGACTCAAGAATCCCAGCTCCAGCGTCTCCCCGGGATGAAGGGGTCGAATCCCTCCATTCCAATAATTCAAGCATCCGAACCCGCTTTCTTCCCTCTAGTAAAACAGGCATCAGAGTTTCGTTCTAAGGATCCAGGCGTCTGCTCACCCCAAATTCCGCCCTGGGACCTGGCGTCCGAGTCCCCTCCCAATTCTCCCAGGGACGCGGGTGTTGGGCTCTTTCGGGGCCTCTGGTCCCCAGGAGGGTGAAACTCACGGATCCGGGGCAGATCCTGGCACCGGGGGGCTTCCTCCGGCTCGGGCTCCGGCTTTCGGGAGCGGAGAACGGGGCGGGGCAGGAGCGGGGAACAGGTTAGACGACGTGACTCGGGCTGCAGGGAGGCGGGTCCCTGAGGGGAGGGGGAGCCGAGGGCGCCTGGAGCACCTTGGGACTTGTAGTCCCGGAGGGGCAGGACGTGGACCGAGAAGATCCCATTTGGATTCACCCAGAGTCCATTTCACAGACAGGAAGGGCGAGGCCCAGAAGCCGAGAGCGACCTGGCCACGGAGATACAGAAGAGCCGAGACGCCTGCCTCGCCGTGGCTTCAGGAGACTGACTTCTGAGCCCTTGCCCCACTCCTTCAGGCACAGTTTTCCCTTTCCTGATCAGTTTCCTCTTGGGTCTCTGAGCCCGAATCTCCCCGTCGATAAAAAGTGCGGGTTGGATCTTTACAGGATCTCAGCAAAAGTTCAGTCTTAGTTTGGACTTCAGTTCCCAGCAGCCTCCGCGACCGACGTCGGGAGACTCTTCCCCTCCGGTCCTCTGGGTATTGTAGTCCCGGAGCCTGCAGGGGCTGCACCTGGGTGTCTCTCTCGCCCACGCGAAGGAAGCCGTCTGGAGATCCCGGGTAGGGGAAACATTTCCCCTTCCCCTTGGCCCTCCCTCCGCTCTGGAAAGCCTCTCCCACCTGGGGAGAAGGGGTGGCCCAATTCTGGAGTAGGATCCTAAATCTTGGCAGGGGGGCGGGAAGCAGCGCTGACACACCAGCCAGGAATGCAGTCGGGTCACCCTGTCTAGCCATCGTCCCAACCGCCGTGGCTCCAACCGCCGCCCCACGCAGGGCGGCCCCAGTGGGAAGGGGCGTGGGTGCGTCCCCCAAATCTGAGTCCACGTGCCGCTGTTTACACGCGCCCTGGGGCAGGGAGGAGTCGCCGATCTGGTCCCTTCCTGAAAGTCATCGAGGTTTCCCACGCACGAGACTAAACTCCTGAGGGCATCTATAAGTCCCATTTGATCCACAAGCGCTACCTCGTCCCCTACACTACCCCACGCGTGTCGGGCTCCCAGTCCGAGGCTCCGCCCTCGAGAACCACAAGCTCCTCCCCCTGTATTTCCCGCTCCCCCGGAGTCCAGAAGCCCCGCCCCGGGCTGGAACTTCATGCCTTCAGGACGGATTGCTCCCATTTCTCCATTTTCCCGCTTCTCCCAGTCAAGTTTTGAATTTCTCAGGCATCTGGGCCTCCCCAGAAGGGATATAAAAACAGAAAACACAGCCCTGCTAACTAGGATTCTTACCTGTCTCTTTAAGAATTTCAGACCAATCGACCTTCCTGTCTCTTTAAGACTTCGGAAAAGCAGTGTGGCTGCCCCTTTAAGGAGGCGTTGCAACAAACCATATTGGACAGACGGCGGGGGGACCTGTCGGGACCCGACGGGCCTCGGACTCCAGAGAAACAGCGAATCAGCGGCTTTCAGGAATAAATTTATCTGAAAAAGACTTCTTCCTCGCTTTTCTGCCCTGCACAGTGGAAATTTTCCCAGTTTTTCCTGCAGAACGGAGGTCGAGCGATGCCTCCCCCCGCGCTCTCGCACCAGTTGGGCGCTCCCGGATGAGGGCCTACCCCTTTGGATCCACGTGGTCTGCAACAGGTTCGGAGCATCCCGGGCTGCCGGGTCGCCTGTGGTGTGGGTCCCGGGATGGAGGAGCCCCAGGCCGGTGGTGAGCGTGCAGGTTGAGGGGGTGCGGAGGGTGCGCTGGTGGGAGAAGAAAGGGGCGCCCGGGAGGGTTCGGGTGGAAAAGGAGGCGTCCCCTGGAAGCAGGACTTGCGGAGAGCCTGCATCTCCCAGTGGACGAACGGCAGTTTGGACGGAGAGAAGGTGTCTTGCGGGGGGCTACCGGTGGAGAGTCAGGCGCCCCCTGGGGTTGGATCGGTGGAGTTGAGGTCGCCCGGGGGGACAGATGGGCAGAAAAGAGAAACCGGGTTGAGGGGATTGGAGCGCTCACGAGGTTAAGACCAGTGGACCCATACGTGCGTCCTGCAAGATTGGACCAACAAGGAAGTGTCAGATCCCCATTTCCCCTTCTGCTGCAGGTGCTGCTCGGTTCTCTTGTCCCTCCAACTTTACCGCGACGCCCCCAGCCTCAGAGTCCCCTCGTTTGTGTTTGGAGGCGCTCACGGGTCCAGATACGGAGCTGTGGCTTATTCAGGCCCCTGCAGACTTTGCCCCAGACTGGTGAGTGGTCTTGTTGCCGGAAAAGAGGGTCCTGATCCAGGCTGCAAGAGCGGGTTCTTGAATTTGTCACAGGAAAAAATTCGAGACGAGTCACAGAGCACAGTGAAAGCAAGTTCACTGGAAACTACTCCTTTACAGAGTAGGGTGTCCTCAGAAAGCAGGAGAAACCCACAGCCCTTTGTTAGTGTCTCTACCTATAAGAAACTATAATTAAACTTGGGAGTGTGCAGATAAGCTCACTAAAGGTAGGGCCTATGGTGTTATCCATGACCATTAATCCTGCGACCTAAGCTTGCTCATTTGTTATCTTTAAGTGACGTGGGCTGCATTCTTAGGACATTTGGACATTCTGCAGGTTTGGTGGGATATGTCCTATATGGCCATAAATATTCTGTAATTATAATTGGTGGTCAGTTTGGGATGTGGTTATTTTCAGGCCATCAGCATGAACTTTCTAAGTGCCTAACTACTCACTTTAAGATAGAGTCATTCTAGTCATGTTTTATTAAAAACCAGAGGCTGGTCGGGCACAGTGGCTCATGCCTGTAATCTCAGCACTTTGGGAGGCTGAGGCAGGTGGATCACTCGAGGTCAGTAGTTTAAGACCAGTCAGGCCAATGTGGTGAAATCCTGTGTCTACTAAAAATGCAAAAATTAGCCAGGTGTGGTGGCAGGCGCTTGGGAGGCTGAGGCAGGAGAATGGCTTGGACCCAGGAGGTGGAGGTTGCAGTGAGCAGAGATCATGCCACTGCACTCCAGCCTGGGTGACAGAGCAAGATTCTGTCTCAAAACAAACCAAAACAAAAAGAACAAAAAAAAGTTTGCCTCTCCTCTTCCACCTAAGCCTCTTTCCTCCGATTCTCTCTGTAGCTTCAATGGGCGGCATGTGCCTCTCTCTGGCTCCCAGATCGTCAAGGGCAAGTTGGCAGGCAAGCGGCACCGCTATCGCGTCCTCAGCAGCTGTCCCCAGGCTGGAGAAGCAACCCTGCTGGCCCCCTCAACAGAGGCAGGAGGTGAACTCACCTGTGCCCCAGCCCCCCAGGGCAGCCTAAGGATCCTTGAGGGTCCCCAACAATCCCTGTCAGGGAGCCCTCTGCAGCCTATTCCAGCCAGCCCCCCACCACAGATCCCCCCTGGCCTGAGGCCTCGGTTCTGTGCCTTTGGGGGCAACCCACCAGTCACAGGGCCTAGGTCAGCCTTGGTCCCCAGTTCGCTCAACTCTGGGAGGAAGAAAAAGGAGATGCAGGTGACAGAGGTCCCAGTCACTCAGGAGGCAGTGAATGGGCACGAGACCCTGGAGGTGGACATGGCTTTGGAGTCCCCAGAAATGGATGTGCGGAAGAAGAAGAAGAAAAAGAAGAAAAATCAGCAGCTGGAAGAACCAGAGGTGGCAGGGCCTGTGGAGACAGAGCCCACAGCAGAGACATCGGAGCCTCTGGGAGTGCTGCTGCCATCTACCACCACCAAGAGGAAGAAGAAGCCCAAAGGGACAGAAACCTTTGAGCCAGAAGAAAAGACAGCAGAGCTGGAATGGATTAACACTGAGCCTCTGGAAGAGACAGCCCTGTCCCCGACCAAAAAGAGAAAGAGGCAAAAGGGGACAGAAGGAATGGAGCCAGAGGAGGGGGTGACAGTTGACTCTCAGCTGCAGGTGAAGGTAGAGCCACTGGAAGAGGCCGTCCCTCTGGCACCTACAAAGAAGAGGAAGAAAGAAAAGGGACAGACTACAATGATGGAGCCGGGGATGGAGGCAACGGAGCCAGCAGAGCCAGAGATGAGCCCTCTGGAGCTCCCAGTGGGGATGACAGAACCTCAACAACCAAATGGAGCTGAGCCTCAGGCCCAGGCAGCTCTGGCAGCTCTCAAGAAGAAGAGGAAGAAAGAACAACAGCAAAATGCCACAGTGGAGCCAGAGCCAGAGGTGGTGGAGCCTGAGCTGCCAGATGAGCCTCAGGCAGCTCCCATGTCCAGCAAGAAGAAGAAGAAGAAGAAAGAGAGAGATCACATAATCACTGAGCCAAGGACTGAGCTGATTGAGCCACCGGAGCCTGAGCCGCCAGGGGAGGGAGAGCCTGAGGCCAGGGCAGCTCCAGAATCCACCAAGAAGAGGAAGAAGCGGAGTCGGGAAAGCCACGTGCCAGAGACAGTGCCCCAGGAGGAGACGCCAGGGCCACCGCTGAACTCAGAGTCTGGGGAGGAGGCTCCTGCAGGCCGGGACAAGAAGCGGAAGAAGCAGCAGCCGCAGCCTGTGTAGTCTCCCCCAGGGAAACTGAGGAACTAAAGAAAGCTGAAGATGCCCATCTGGGCCACGAGAAGGTGACAGCCCAAGAACCCTGCCCCAGAGATGGCACCAGCACAGCCAGCAGGAGCCTGGCCTGGGAAGATGCTTTATTATTACACTGGGGTCTCCTCCGCAGCTGTGGTCATCGGGGCACTTTCAAGAAGGGCTCGTGCAGGACATCAAACAGCCTCCGCGCCTGGGTGGGAGGGAGAAAGAAACGAGGAACCTGTCATTAAAGGTTTCTTGGGTGAATCCAGAGTGGGGCTGTGGTTCTTTTGTCTTCCCCATACCCTCAAGCATTTATCCATTGAGTTACAAACAATCCAGTTACACTCTTTTCTGTTATTTATTTTTTCTTTTTTGAGTCAGAGTCTCGCTCTGTCACCCAGGCTGGAGTGCAGTGGTGTGACCTCAGCTCACTGCAACCTCTGCCTCCTAGGTTCAAATGATTCTTCCACCTCAGCCTCCCGAGTAGCTAGGACCACAGGCATGCACCACCACTAATTTTTGCATTTTTAGTAGAGATGGGGTTTCACTGTATTGGCCTGGCTGATCTCGAACTCCTGACCTCATGATCCGCCTGCCTTGGCCTCCCAAAGTGCTGGGATTACAGGTGGGAGCCACCGCACCTAGCCAAGTTATCTTAAAATGTAGTTTTTGATTATGGTCACCTACCTGGTTGTGCTATCAAATAGTATGTCTTCTTCATTTTTTGTGTGGTACCGATGAACCTGCCCACCTCCCTGCTAGCCCTTCACTACCCTCCCCAGCCTCCAGGAACCATCCTACTTTAGCTCCATGAGTTCAATTGTTTTGATTGTTGGATACACAACTAAGTGAGAACACACGACGTTTGTCTTTCTGTGCCTGATTTATTTCACTTAACATAATAATCTCCAGTTCATTATGTTGCAAATGACAGGATCTCATTTCTTTTTTTTTGAAATGGGTCTCGCTCTGTCACCCAGGCTGGAGTATAGTGGCGTGATTCTTGGCTCACTGCAACCTCCGCCTCCCGGGTTCAAGGGATTCTCCTGCCTCAGCCTCCCGTGTAGCTGGGATTACAGGTCCCCACCACCAGGCCCGGCTAATTTTTGTATTTTTAGTAGAGACGGGGTTTCACCACGTTGGCCAGGCTGCTCTCGAACTCCTGGCCTCAAGTGATTTACCCGCCTCAGCCTCCCAAAGTGCTGGGATTACAGGCGTGAGCCACCGCACCTGACTGGGATCTCGTTCTTTTTTATGGCTGCAGTGTACTCCATTGTGTCTATGTACCACATTTTCTTTGCCTGGTCATCTGTGGATGGAGACAGGTTGCTTCCAAATCTTGGCAATGTGACCGGTGCCGCCACCAACCTAGGAGTGTAGGCGTCTCTTGAGTACACTGATTTCCTTTCTTTTGGGGATATACCCAGCAGTTCGTTGCTAGATCATGTGGAAGCTGAATGCTCAGTTTTTTGAGAAGCCTCTACACCGTTCTCCACAGCGGTTGTACTAATTTACTTTCCCACAAGTATACAAGGGTTTCCATTTCTTCACATCCTCGCCACCATTTGTTATTGCCTGTCCTTTGGATAAAAGCCATTTTAACGGGGCTGAGATGGTAGCTCATTGTAGTTTTGTTTTTTTTTTAGACGGAGTTTCACTCTTGTTGCCCAGGCTGGAGTGCAGTCGTACGATCTTGGCTCACTGCAACCTCCATCTCCTGGGTTCAAGCAATTCTCCTGCCTCAGCCTCCCAAGTAGCTGGGATTGCAGGTGCCCACCACAATGCCCAGCTAATTTTTGTATTTTTAGTAGAGACGAGTTTTTGCCAGGCTGGCCAGGCTGATCTTGAACTCCTGAGCTCAAGTGACCCGCCTGCCTCAGCCTCCTAAAGTGCTGGGATTACAGGTGTGAGCCTCTGCGTCCAGCCTCATTGTAGTTTTTGGTTTGTATTTCTCTGATGATCAAAAATGTGGAGCACCTTCTTATATGCCTGCTGCCCATTTGTATATCTTTTGAAAAATGCTAATTCAAATCCTTTGGTTTTTGATCGGATTATTATATTTTTTCCTACAGAGTTGTTAGAACTTGTATCTTCTGGTTGATTCCTTGTTAGATGGTTAGTTTGCAAATGTTTTCTCCCATTCTGCATGTTGTCTCTTCACTTTGCGGATTGTTTCCTTTGTTGTGCAGAAGCTTTTACAGGTATAAGCCACAGTGCCCGGCCTTTGGCTCTTTTGTCATCTTAAAACTTTGGGGTCTCAGGTTGTGTTTATTTGGGGCTCCCTCCTTCCCCCAGCTCCTTGGGTTCTTTCCCAGAGCTCTTACCTTCTGAGGGCCCAGGCCTGGGCATAAGGCCAGATCTTCTCTCGATGCAGCGATGAGCTGTTCCAGAGACTGGAAGGTGAAAGCCAGCGGTCAGGGCAGCTGAGCACAAAAGCCTCTCCTGGCCAGGCGTGGTGGCTCACACCTGTAATCCCAGCACTTTGGGAGGCTGAGGGGGGTAGATCATGAGGTCAGGAGTTCAAGACCAGCCTGGCCAACATACTGAAACCCCATCTCTGCTAAAAATACAAAAATTAGCCAGGCATGTTGGTGTGCGCCTGTAGTCCCAGCTACTTGGGAGGGTGAGGCAGGAGAATCACTTGAACCTGGGAGGCGGAGGTTGCAGTGAGCCGAGATCACGCCACTGCACTCCAGCCTGGACAACAGAGTGAGACTCCATCTTAAAAAAAAAAAAGTCTCCCCTATCCCAGCTGAGGAGGGGCCTCAGATATTCCCCAGGGGAGGTGAAGGCCTGTCAGAGGGCAGGATGGGCCACAGTGTGGGCAGGGAGATGGAAGGAAATGGAAGAGAGGCTTCCTAGAAAAGGCAAGGGGACAGAAATGCCTGTGGAGCAGGGGAGCCATTCCTTACCCCAAATGTGGTCAGGAGGGTCTGGCTGTCCGTTTTGTTGACTGACTTCACGGTGGTCAGACATTCAGTCACCTGGAAGGGGAGGGGGCAGGAGTGTCTCAGGAGAGGAAAGGCTGGTGAGACAGCCTGTGAGGGCAGGGCTGGGTCACAGCTGTGTCCCCAGACTGTCTGGTATACAGGAGGCACTCAATAAATGCTTTTTTTCCCAACTGATTAAAAAGTCATCTCAGGCTGGGCACGGTGGCTCATGCCTAATAATCCCAGCACTTTGGGAGGCAGAGGCGGGAGGATCACCTGAAGTCAGGAGTTTGAGACTAGCCTGGCCAATACGGTGAAACCCCATCTCTACTAAAAATACAAAACAATTAGCCAGGCATGGTGGCGTCCCCTTGGAGTCCCAGCTACTCGGGCGGCTGAGGCAGGAGAATCACCTGAACCCGGGAGGTGGAGGTTGTGCTCAACAGAGATCATGCCACTATACTTCAGCCTGGATGACAAGAGCAAGACACTGTCTCTTTAAAAAAAAAAA